TCCCGACTCCTTAATTAAAGCTAAGATACAATCCAAAGTCTTGAGAATTTTTATAAGGGTTTTAAATTTTATATATGAAGCTAAAAATAATTATTAAGGAAAAAATCAGTTATAAAAAATAATACAAAAGCACTTCACACACACAATGACACAAACACACAAAGGTAGTTTTTTTTTTCAATGATGATATGTATAAGGATCTCACGTACCGATCCTTTTTAGCTTTTAAGAAATTAATTTAATGGTAAAATTAAACATGAGGAGGGGAAGATGGAAATATATATATATATAAAAAATAGATAAGAAGAAGAAGGATTGATAATAATGAAAAGTAAAAGAGTAACAACAGACAGATGGGTCCTATTGGAAGGTGAAAAAGAAGAAGGGACACGCAATGCAATTGATTAGAAATGAGTGGGTTCCCATGTGCAAATCAAAGCACATGCCCCTTCTCTTCCTTCTTTCTAATTATTTAATTATCTTCCCCTCACCAAATCCTCCTTTTCCCAGTCTCTCTATCATGGCCTTCCCACCTTTTGACTGCTTATCTTCCAAACCCAACATTTAGTTCAAACTTGATTCATTCCTTCCTTGCATTTATGTCTTCTCTTAGCTTCTCTCCAAATCATGGCATTAAACCCAACTTCAATCACTCTGTCAATTTAGTGAACTAGTGAACCAATTATGATTAGTTTAGTTGACAGTTTTTGACAGCTGAACTGAGTTGAATTTTATATTTAGGACGTCATCTTAAGTTAAAGAAAAAAGGAAAAAAAAAGTCTATCATATTTTTTTTGGTAACTTTATTTTGTTGAATTATGTATGGTTTATATATGAATGTACTATTTATTTGTAAATTAATACCCTTTTTATCTAAATATTACTCTTTTCAAAGTTTGCATATGAATATTTTTATATGTTTTAATTAAATTATATTATTTTAATCATAATTACATTTACCTTAATTCAATCATGGTCATATCAACCATCCTTTGAATTACTGTTTTTACTGGTTTATTGACGAACTCGATTTTTGGTAGCTTATTCCAAATACACCATATACATGCATTTTTGTTAATATAAGAGATTTTGTATATCAATAGTCATTCCTTCTTTTTTTTTGAATTGGATAATAATACCTAGGTCGAATGAAATGGGCTTATTAATTCTTCATAAACAAGGCTAATGTTGAATTTCGTAAATTTAAAAAAAAAATCATGTTTGGATAACTACATTAGTTTTTGGTGTTTCCCTCTCTTAACTATTAGGTAGTCATATTTTTCCTTGTGGTGGTTTAAGGTTTAACTCAAAATCTTTAACTTTTTGTCAGACTCACTCATGAGTTATGAATAATGATGTCTGTTAGTTATCATGTTTGATTCTAAATAATTATGTTTTCCATTTTTAACTGTCTCGAATTCTTGAGGTAACTTAACCCTTTCTTTGGAAATATGCATCTTATTACAGAGTTTTTTATATTGAAAATATAAACAGTTTTTAAAATAAAAATAGGAAATAATATTCTTTAGAATAAAATAGTTTGAATAAAAAAAATTAAAGTATTAAATAATGTATAATATGGTATAAGTTAATCATATATAATAATTTATCCAATTTTATAAAATTATTTTTGGTTGGATAATTTCACATAATAATTTTGTAGAGACTTTATTAAGTTCTATCTCACCAATAGATGGCATAATCACACAATTCTAAGGTGCAGTGTGACTCATTACCAGCTCTATGCAATTATATTTGTGATTTAATAATACATTTTTCCTGACAAGATTGGAATCCAGCTGTTTGATTTCGATAACTACCTAGTAGCTGGTTTAAAGAAATGTTTCATACATTATGTTATCATTTAAGGAAAAAAAATAAATCCTTTCTGTTTTCTAATACATTAAAAATATAGTGCTAATCGGTTTTCACTTTCACTTGGCAACATTTTAAAAGATGTTTTTTTTTCCAAAACACAATTACTTTTTCAATAAATTGTTATAAGTCCCACATTGAGAAATCTTATAAGTATTGTAAGGTTTATAAATTCAAAAAGCTCTTCCTCTTAACAGGCTAGTCTTTTGAGATTAGACTCTCTCTTTAGGTTTATACTCATCACATTGATACTTTTATTAGAGTCAACCAATCAAAAAAGGCTATCTGTGCAGGGTTCTAACCGATAAAAAGAGCTCTGTTATGAGTCTCACATTGAGAAATCTCACAAATGTTATTCAAGGAGCTCTCCCTCGTAATATAATAGTCTTTTGATTTTTGAGATTGGGCTCTTCCCTTAAACTTAAGCTCATCACATAAATTTACTCTCTTTTTTTTAACCAAGAAAACTCGTGTATATTAAGCTCATTGATTTTCTTTGATTTTATAGTGGGGTTAGGATCAAACCCAAAAAAAAAAAAAGGTTGAGATTAGAAAATAATAGAAGAGAGAAGTAGCAAGAAGAAAGAGGAGACAGAAAAGAAATTGCAACCAAGTTCATTTATGCTAATCGATTATGATAATTCACTAAATTATTGATTACATAATCAGATATAATTAGTTTGTTGATTCCCTACCAGAATCTAACAGTTAATGTTGGCTTATGAAAAAGCTAAGCTAACTAAAACACATACATGACAAAGTCTACAATTTAATTAATTATAATTTCATATTTGTTCTCTATATCTATATAATATATATATTGGTAATTATTAATGGTCTTCAACTCTTCATCGCATATTAGATATATCCTTCAAAATTAAAAAGAAAATCGATAACCAAAATTTTAAAAAATGAATTTAATTAATGCAAAATTGACTAAGATATGGTACGGTAGGAATTCCCCATCATTATCATTAATATGCGTCACACCTATTATCGTACTTGGTTGGTCATAAATACTAAGATTGCTATTTTATACTGGCACTATATATCACTATTATTTATTCATCATAAATACACTAATCACCAAATACATAAATATGTTAGCAAAAAAATTACCAAATAGGGAGGACTTAGAGTGTGGAATATTTATGATATTAAGATGGTCACTTACTCACTTAAAGAAGTGTATAAAACTTGCATCAATTTCTCTCCTCTTTCTTTATTTATTTTCTTAAAACAGTAAAAGGGAGAATTGTTGAAGTCTCATTAAGTAAATTGATTATCTCTCTAATACAATTTACAAGTTAAATTTCAATATTTACAAGCCAAGTTTCGATTTCAATATTTACAAGTGATTGGGCGTGTCTGAATAACTATTGAAGAATCATGAAAAGCTTGTTCTGAATGTTTTTTTCCCTCAATATCTCCTCATGTGCAAGTTTTCCTATAAACACATATATTCATCGTTCATGACTTTGGATATACAATATTGCCAAATGAAAGTTTATCCAGTTGGTAGTCAGTTCATAACCCACATAACTGTAAGTTCAAATCTCTCCTAGTATAAAATCCTTATTGATAAGTGATCTGTAAATATTTCTGTGAGCACTTATTTTGGTGAGTCTACGAAATCTAACTCACTTAAACTTTTTTTTGTATAAAAAAAATTTGCATATACTATTGAACAGAAGCTTTAAAAAAAAAAAAAGTACCCATCAATTTGACCATTGAAACAAAGTTGATGTTCGTACAAATTAACCATGCTTTCCAGTTGCTCCAATTTTCATCAATCATGAAAAGGAAACCGTTAAAATGCATAAGAAACCAAGTGTGTTGGATTTCCATAATAACACATAAATTAATGTGTTATTAGAAGGGCAGTAATCATTAATTGATTGCTTTACTTTTTCCTAAATTTAAACAACTTTTTCATAGGGATGCAAACTAGACCCTCTGAAATACTTTAGAACTAAAATGTCAGAGAGAAAAAAAGGAACAAAAATAAAAGTCCTACCTCTATATATATTCTTGAGTGAAAATAAAAATCACCCATTTCTCTTTTCTCTCCCAAATTTGACTCAAAGTACTTGAAAGATTCTCCTCTATGCATCAAGCTTAATCCATTATGGCCATACAAGCATCAAAAAGCAAAAGGAACGCGTTTGTTGGTTACTGAGGACAAGAGGTTAAGAGAAAGCTTCTGATTTTCTAAAGCCACTTTTCCTAAATGTCAAATTATAACTTTTACTTACTTTTGCCTCCCTCTCCCAAACACATTCTTCAGATTTGGATCTTTAAAGTTGACCATTACCCACAGGCCCCCCCTCCCAAAACAAAAAAAAAAAGAAAAAAAAAACTATTCACAACTAGTCTAACAAAATTAGTTACTCCCTCACACAAGTTGTTTATATTTTGATAACAAATAGCATATGCATATTGATGGAGACTTATAATGGATAGGTTAGTTCTTTCAACGCAACAGCTAATTTTTTCTTTCTAATTTAGAGTGACAGGTACTAAGAATCTTATGTTACAAGCAAGATTAAACCCGTAACTTCTCACTTATGAGTGCCACTATAGTACTCCTCCGGTCCTTAATATAAGATCTAATTATTGAGTTGGTTTTGGTCCTAAATATAAGACCCACTTCTCATGTTTATCAATTTTTTCTAAATTACCCCTATGGATATTTCCTCAACCATAATCAAGTAGAAGAGGAAGATGGGTTATTAAGAAAGATGATTGTGATATTTTAGGAAAAACGTGTCACATTTTTTATAATTAATTAACTTACCTAACTTCCTTAATCTAATTAAATTAGTTAAATATGTCTTATATTAAGGATAAGAGGAGTATAATACCATTAGTTCAACAACTAGTTTTTGGAATGGATTTCCATCCCACTTAGAAACAATCACATATATGCTGATGGCCTCCCCGACAGTTAAACCTTTCTCTGTCTTTGTGTCTCTGTAATCTCTTTCCTATATTCACGCCGCTCTTGCTCCTATAACTCACTCTTTCTCCTTTCTTTCCTGTCTGCAAAAGCAAAAGTACTTGCCCCATCTTCTTCATTTCCCTCGTCACCATTGTTAACCAATTCATTTCTTGTTCTTTGATTTGGTTGGCCTCAGAACCATGCCTCACTTCTCTTTCTCAAAGGAAAAGACCAGTGACTTCTCTTCTCTTGTCTTCCATTTCTGCTTCTCCATCTTCTCTCACCCTCTCTACTTCTCTTACTTCGTCTTCTTCTCTCCTTACATTCTCAAGCTCATCTCTTTCCTTTCTCCTCTTTTCATCACCACCACCCTCCTCCTCCTTGCCCTCTTCACTGTTTCTCCTAATTACTTCGTCTTGGACGCTAATGACGACTCTGACTCCAAATTGGGTTTTCTTCTTTCTAATTTTCAGAATCTTGTTCTGTGGCTTCAGTCAAAAAGTAACCAGAAAGATGAGGAAGTTGGGTATCTTGAGGAGTTTGAAGCTTACTTGGTGATGTTTCAGGCCTCCATCTTTCAAGCTCTGGAGGCAAAACCAGAGGAAAATAGTCCACAATGCCTTGACGCTGATCTAGTTGACAATAATGTGTCAGTTGCAGAAGTAAAAAGCCTGGAGAGCTTGTTTCAAGAAAGTGAAGAATTTGAAGATTTCGGTCATGAGAAAGAAGAAAAAGGAAGTGGAGAAATGAAGGTCCTGGAGAGTTTGTTCAGGGAAGAAGAAGTTTGAAGGTTTAGTTCATCAAAAGGAAGCCAAGTTAGTGACTCAGAACAGGGAAAATCAGAAGAAGAGACCAACGAAAAAATGGGTCAGATAAGTGAATTCAAAGTGAGGGAGAGTTACACAAAATTGGATGGTGAAGGAGAAAAGAAGGTTCAAGAGAGTATGTTGGAGAAGGAAGAAAATGAAGAGACGAAAGGGAAAATAATAGGGCTGAGAAGTGGATTCAAAGTGATGAGTAAATCTCAGAGACTTCTAGAAGCAAGTCTTGGGAGTCCAGAAAACAACTGGGTTTACAGTGAATCAAATTACCTGGGAAGTTTTGGATCAATGAGGAAAGAGAAAGAATGGAGAAGGACCTTAGCTTGCAAGCTCTTTGAAGAGAGACACAATAACAGCAGCATCAGGGGCAACAACATTAATGGAAGTGAAAGTGAAGGCATGGATTCACTGTGGGAGACATACGAGACACAGTCCAACAAAGCCAAGCGCAGCAACAAGAAGAAGACAATGACAACTCTGGAGAAGAGCAATACCAAGAAGAGTACTGAGAGCAAGTATTATGATCCAGAGGATGAAGATGATGAAGAAGATGAGGAGGAGGAGGAAGAAGGAGAAGGAATCAAATTGTGCTGCTTGCAGGCTCTGAAATTCTCAGCAGGGAAGATGAATCTGGGAATGGGAAAGCCTAACCTTATGAAAATCTCTAAAGCTTTCAAGGGCATTGGATGGCTTCACCATCATGTAGGCAAGCATGGTAGAAAGGGGTAGGATTGAATAAAGAAAATAAAAAAGATTTTGGTCTTGCTTGTTACTCTCTGAAAAATTGCATAGAAATTGTGTATTTTCTTTTATGGTGACAAGTAAATAATTTTCCCCTCTCTTTTTTCTTCAGTTAATTAATGGAGCTTATTTTATGGGATGTTTGGATAATAAGTTATAGAATACAAGGGAATCAGAGATTTGGTAAGGTTTACTTAAAAACTTTTCTCATGTTTTTCAGTGTTATTCACAAGAAAGGATAATGAACCAAAAAAGTATTTCATCTGATCCTTCTCAAACCTCCAAAACCTTGTCTTTTTATATTTTTCAACCAAGTTTTCTAAAAACAAAAAAACAAATTAATGGGCATGTCAGAGATGTTGCTCAACCATTATCCTTGGCCCTCAATTAACAAGTTCCTGTTTTGGGGATGAAATGGTCATTGACACTTGACAGTGGCAACTTGTTCTGCATTTTACTCTGCAGTGTGCTTGAAATGGAACCTGATGGTACTTTTGGCTACTTGTGTTGTGCACGTCACTGACACATGTGCTTAAGACTTGCTCATCAGAGTTTGGTTCTTAATTTTTATACTGATTTGTTGCAACTGGATTGTGCTTTTCTAGCATATTTGCTAAGTGGCGTTCTCTTTATATATCTTTCTGCAGTGTGCCTCTGATATAATAAAAGAAGTGAGAGGGTGTAAAGTTCTAATAGACTTTTGTTAATCTTCTATTATCTGGTACTTGTACAACTTCTTTTGCATATTAAACTATATTTTCAAGTTTGATTAACCGTTCTATGGTTAGATTAGCTGTTACAGATCAGTGTTTTTAAAGATGGAAACCGAATAACTATTGAGATCCTTCAACAAAGGAGACTTGAGTTCTTAGAAGTTAGGAAACTAAAAAGGGAACAGATGGGAAGAGAAGAATAACCCTTGGGATATTAGTTTTATCTTATAAAGAGAATACAAATTATGCAGTTTCAAGGCTTCTGGTTATTGGAGTTGTGATGTTTTTGCTTCTTCTTCCTATTTTCCTTCATTTGAAACTCAAAAAGCAATTATTCCTTAAGAACGCTTAAAGAAGAGTTATTGTGATTTTAAAACTCTGCTCATTGTCTATATTGAATCCTAATAATCATGTTTTTGTACTCGTTATCTAAAAGGCATAGAAGTAGACTTGATTTCCAGCCAATCTCGAGTTCTAAATCTTCTAATTTTTTATTTTTGATTTTTTTGGAAAATATTAATAAAAATTTAAAAATATATATGCATTAAAGTCATTTTTAACTTAAATAATTAATATATATATGCATGTAAATAAAATCTTAAAAATAGAAAGAATATTTTATATAAGAAAAAATTATCGTACAGACGCACGAAATTGAAAAATGGCCCTGAAGTTCCAAACTTCTTGACAATAATAAATTGCGCTCAAGGAAGGATCACGTTGGCAGGGAGCTTCTTTGCATGTGGACTGTTTGATTTTCAGTTGTCTGTTATTCGTTTTTTCAGTTTCAGTTTATATTGTTCGGTTTTTTAATTTATTGTTCTGGGCCATCCATATTGCTTGGGTAATTTGTGTTTAGCTCAAAATTTTCAAATGTAATATGCTGGCCTTTTTAATGTGGATTTTTTTTTACTTTATGAATAAATTTCCTTTTAATAAAATAAATAAATAAACATAAAAATTCTAAAAAATAATAGTTAAGTTTTCAAAACTTTAAAAGGTTACCGGAATTTTTAAAATTCCAAACTAGTCATAATGACTAAATTGAAATTTTAAAATATTGGTGAATTTACAGGGGAAAAAAAGGCAGCATTGTTAATTTATCAATATCTTAAAATTTCAAAATTCAACTATCATTTTTTTTGGAATTCTTGTTAAATAAATTGTACTGTCTAATGATCTTGCCCTCTCATGTGTCTTCTTCTTCTTCCTTCTACATTTTATACTAATAATTCTGGTTTTTAATATAAGAGTTAATTTGACATTCAATCTAGTGCTAAATATAATACTCAAATCTACTTTATCTCTCCTATTTATTCATTTTTTTAAAGTAGTTAATATAGTAGTTGCATATGTTAAAAGGTTCCATCAAATGGTAGTTTTAGATAATACACATGATTTTTGTAAGGGTATTTTAGAAAAGATAACACATATTTATTACAAATAATTAACTTAAAAACTTCTTTAATCTATTCAAATTAGTTAACTAACTATTATATTAAGTACCGAATGTAGTATTATTTTACAAAATTCAACGTTGCAAATTGCATTACTTCTTATTTGGGTACTGTTTTTCTTCGCCTTGATCATTTCTAATGGGTTTAGCATTAGGAATTGAGTGAAAAATAAATTAAAATAATCCACAAGGCTTAATTTAAGTTTAAGCTTCGTCCGGTTCATGCCTCTAAAAATTTAATCAAATCAAGCTAGTACATTCTATCAACATAGAATTTTGGAGTAAACCTTACTAGAGATCAATTTTAATCAGTTTACATCGTTTTTTTTTTTTTTGTGGGGTCAAAAATCAGTTTGCACGGTTTGCTTCAGCATAATTTGATTTGACATAACTGATTTAGATAAGTTTTAAACATGCTTACTTCTCTTTATCATTAATATTTAATTAAAGTCATAAAAACTTAGTTACTTATAAAATTAGTTAATCATGTGTATTAGAACTATTTTTTTATAAAACTTTTAACATATGAAATCATCATATGACTTATTTTTAAAATAAATAAATAAATATGAAAGATAGAGTGAATTAATGTTTTATATTTATGATAAAAAAATTAAATTTCTAACTAACTCTTATATTTAAGACTTGAGGTAACATTTAATTGAACTGCTTTAAATACATAAACTTTTCTTGGCATTTGCATTACATCTTAATTCCAGATTAACAATAGACATATGCAACTGTGCACGATAACAAGAAATTCATATCAAATTTGGTCTAAACAATCAAAATAATGACATGAGTAAGGTAATAATTTGTCTTATCATATGGATGAAAACAAAATCCACAAGCTGGAGAAGCCTTCATGTTAAAACTAGGACAGGTTTCTGTTGAAATGAGATCATTGTAAAAACTTCTTTCTCCCAATTTTCTCAATCAAGTAAATGTTTAAGAATAGAACTAAATATATTAAGTCCAAACATGATGAGTAATAAAAGAAGTACGGTTTGATCGGAAATAACCCAACCGAACAAAATAGTAGTAAGATTTGAGGTCTCAATCTGTCATAAAAGATTTTTCTATTTCACAACATTTTTATCTGAAGATTTGTTTTACTATATTTCCTTTTAACTAATTCCTTTAATACTTGAATTTTAACTTCAGTCCTGTGGGATTGGTAAAATCTTCTGAAAGATACTCCCATCTCTTCATCCTTCTCCTATTAGAAAGAATGCAAAGTAATTATATACAAAGACATAGTTATCCATTCATTGCGTGTAATTAACCTGTAATATCTCATACAACTTTTATAATTTCATATGCATCAGATAAATTTAATTTCAATAATCATCCATTTATCATTTAATTGGTGATTTTTTATATCTTCAAAAGAAATTGTTGAGTTTGATCGATGTTTGTAACATCTAATATATAAGACATAGTCATGAACATATGACTCACCAATATATTTTACATGATGAGAGAAACTCATTTGACATGAGCTATCACACAATTGAAAAGCACTTGTTTTTTTTTTTTGCCAGAAAAAGAACTTGTTATTTCTGTTATATATGGATGTGGATGAATAGTACGGTAAATACATTTATTTTTGCCAGATGTAAATACCTTTATTAGTTGATCCTCAAAGAAAAAGTATTTGTTTTAACAATGTTACAAAAGACTGAAAGTTAAAAATGAACCAAACATCACAGAAATCACTTAATGGTTAATTGATACATGTACAATAACGGAATAATCTAGGCATTTACTTCTATATCATTAATTAATTAATTAATTATTAGGTTAAACCTCACTTAATGGTAAATTATCGATTTGTTTTATCTTCCCCTTATTTAAATTAATTAAAAAGGTAAAGTATCCCTGATCTTATTTTTCAGGTGCCCATAACACCTTTTTTTTTTTTGTGATGCAATTTTATCTATGATCTTTTAAATTTAGTGCAATCTCACTCTTTCTTTATTTATTTAAAATCACATTTTTTATTAATATTAATTGTTAAAATTAACCATTTTGGTTTTTCTCATCAAATTATTAACAACTTTCACACAAACTAACCAAATTACAATTAAATAAGAAAACTGAAAAATGGACTAGATTGCACTAAATTTAATAGTGCCAATGGATATATCTGAAAAATAAGATTAGAATACTGGGTTTACTTCGATTAAAATTGTCCACAAAATTCAAACGAAGAACCATTCTCGATCGCAATTTTTTTTTTTGAATAAATACTGGATAACACAGACCTACCAAGAAAATTAACTTCCCTTATCAACCTTCTTGATCACAATTTCAAGATGATCTTGCTGGGGCATGTCATTATCACTGTTTCTTCGTGTCTTCTTTTCAGAGGGCAATAGCACAACACTGGTCTAACAATGTAGGCCAACTCGATCACGTGCTTGAACTTGCAGCTCTATTATTTGTGCACATTTCTTGGATTTTATAAAATAATTTAACATACATCGTAAGCTGAAAATTTAAAAATGTAAACTGTAGACGAAATCTTGGAATTGACATCGAAGAGGTAAAAGTTTTTTTTTTTTTTAAAAAAAAGAGCTTTTTGGTTGGCAATGAATTTGGAACAATTAACTTGTGAAAAAAAATTTAGATGGACGATTTATTTCACCAGACCATAAAATTTGGGTTCTATGATGTACTTAAAAAATAATACAAAAAATTACATATTTAAATTAAAATAAGATAGGCGCCTCTCAACGTCATTAACTGTACTATTTGGCATGAGATTTTCTTGGATTGTAGGAGAAAAAATCAACAAGTGCCGTCTGGCCATTATCAATAAGGGCCATCACAAGAATTCATATATACTGACCAATTTTTTGGAATTTAAGGCTAATCAATTTTGATTATTAATGCTATATAACAAAAACGGAGAAGTGGAAAATGTTGGATCCATTCACATGACCTAAACTTTTTTCAACAAAAAACAAAAGACACCTTGACATCAGCAACAGAAATCAGATTTCAATCCTCACTAAAAGAGGCGCAAGTTTAGTGTTAAGCATTAGTAGCTTGAATAAGATTGCTTCTTAATATATCCATGACAACTGACA